GCGAACCGTATACTATTTTTAGTCGCGAAAAGTAGACGGTTTTGGAAAAAGACTTTGAAAATGCTCTCAGAACAGTCAGATGCCAGTCAGTGGCAAAGTCAAGCTGTCAGCGTGCGTGGCGAAAGTTATTACTTTCCACACGAGATAAAGAAAATTTGTAATGAGTAGAAGTGATGCTTTCGCCATCGAAGATAGTAGCGAAAGTACGCACTTTCCACCAAGGGATCAAGAAAATTTACTTTTTTGTCATGCAGTGATAACATTTTTCGGCTTAGACCGATTTTCAAAATCTACAGCTGGTGTGGAAGCTGAAACGTCATGTAAGAAGGTGCAGGTATGATCGTCGACTCAATAAAATCGATTGCAATAAAAGTGATCCTATCGGAATTGCCCCTGAAATATTTGGTTTTATGGGAGGCTTTGAAACTCTGAAGGCTCTGAACTCTAGAATGTTCTGATGACTGCAGATTGATTTGTGGAGGAACCAAATTACAACGGCATGTTCTCGAAATAGTAAGCCGAAGCCGTAAGTGTGCTCACTTGAAAATGCATGTAACAAGGCAGCGTGAAAATCGGTTTTCATTTGTAACTTCTTCTAGAATTTCTTATTCAACTGAACTTAGCGGCGATATGTAATTGCATCAATTTATTGTCAGGTTAATTTCTGACCATAATGGTAAGTTTGTTCTAGAAATTGTGAAACCAGAAAGTACCAAACATGACGGCTTATGGATGTCATATCGAAGAAATGTTTGCAATGCAAAGAAATGTTAGCTTATTTGGCAATTTTTTTCGACAGAGCACGTATAACAAGCAAGTCCGATCACTCTGATTTTTAGTAGCTACACTCAAATTCAGATTTGGATCACTATCAACGCACCTCTGTATTTCGATTTTCGATTTTTTCAAATCATACTGGCATAATTTTCGTGAAAATTTATCTTTAACATGAGCTCTTGACTTTGAAAATCAGTGTAACAAGAAAAATGTTAGATATTACTTCGAAACCAAAAAGTGGATTTTTTGACAGGATCCTGTAAATCAAAATGATAGGGAACTATAGAAAATGACTTTTATATATGAGGTCAACCGTCATGCTTTTGATGGTGAAATCCAAAAAACCTTTTCTGCCTAATTGGGAGCATGCCAGACTTTCAGAAATGTTGCTTTCAGAAAAGTATCCCGAAATATGACATAATATGCAAAATTTTGAAAATGCCTACTTTCCTCAGTGAGCCAATGAGGACATTAACTCATTTCCGAACTAGTACTGGATTCTGCTTATTATAAGTTAGAGATAAGTCGATGGCAACAATTTTTCAAAGATTGCCGGATACCTGACCATTAAAACAAACCGAATTGCCTTTTCTACTTGTTTAAAGAAATTTTCTACTTGTTTAAGTAATTTTTCAAATAGAAAATCTAATAAAAACGTGTATACCGGTCATAAGCCATACACGAATGCACAAACCGTACATAAACAAATCAAACTTTAAAATTTTACGGTTAGTTCGAGCAGAAATTTTGGGTTTGATAACGGGTTATTGACGTCATGGACCCAAATGGTTCCCTGATAAGATGAYTTTGCGATGAGAATCGTAATATTTCTCACTTTTGCAACGATGCCAGTGTTTCCAGTTGCTTAAACTGCGTTTCAATAAACGCAGTTTGTGAAACGTACCGAAACGCTGGTGAAAACGGTCCGTCGTTAAACGCGTTTAATTTCGGCGTTTAACATAAACTTAGTTTCGTCAAACTGCGTTTCGCTTGCTTCTGATGAAAATGGGCCTAACTCAATTGTTGACAATGTACTGTGCATTTGATACATTCCAAAGGATCAGTGGCGGTGCCAGTTTTCTTTTCTGCTTGGGCGAAGCCGGCGAAATCTATATGAAAATCTTTGACTCTTGTCCAACAGGAACCAAATATTTTGTGCTTGCTTTACGGAATAGTATTTGGCTTTACCATTGTGGACTGTTATCAAGTGCGATACAACGTGTAATAAAAAAATATGGCTGTGATGTGTACTGTGTGCAGTAAGTCACATTCGTAGCATTGCAATTTACGAATTCATGTGAAAAAATTCCATCCGGGTGAGTGCAGGATAAGAAAATTTCGGAGATTCTGAGAATAGACTTTTTTTAAATAACTTTTAGAGTACTGGTAGAAACCCAGTACCCATATTTAGAAGTTAAGAAGAAGAAGACTAGAAAATAATTTATTAATATAAAGTACTTAAAAATTTACTTTTCAATTCCCGAACAACTCGGAGCCACTGCAAAGGGTACATGTATGTATACAGTCTTTAATTTCTAATTCAGTCATAATTTATTTTTTAACAATTTTGGTAAAAATCATCCGCTTAACTTTATGGCTATACGTGTAAACGTTTTATTTGTCATTAAAACTATGAGCGGCTTTTGAAATCAAACTGAAAAACGAATTAACCCTTGCCCTCGGAATTAGAAGCATTGAAAAGCAATACGCGAGGTTTTCCATCACCCCCTCCTATCGTCATCTTCGGTATCTACCTGATTGGTTCTGGTTGATGCGAATGTTACACTTCGGACAGTATATATTTTCTTCAGAAAGGGTTAATTAGCATTAGTAGAATTCAGTTTAGTGGTTAACTTCAGTTTGGCTGTAATAGTTACACAATTATGAGTGAATTTTCCTGTTCTCTTAACGATAGTCCCATCGACAATACATTTCCTGTGATACAAGAAAATTATCAAGAGCAATATTTCGCTGTACAGCAACCGTATTCTTTTGCAAACGAGCAAGTTCCAATGGCAAGTCAGGATAATTTTCGAATAACGGTAAGTGATAGTTTTGGTTATATGTGATTGCTTTGCAAAACGACTTGTTCATTGGTTACTTAGGGATTTTAGTGGTTTCACATAAAGCTTGCATAATCTGATTCTTTTAGTTCTACATATCTTTATAACGAATAATTTTATTTTTTGAGTGAAATAATCAAATTTGAGTCTTATCTCTTACATTAAACAGGCTTTACTAAGAGTGAGGGCGTCTGTACATTTTTATCAACATTTTACTGTCATTTTTATCCCTTTTCATGACCTTCATTTTTGAACTAATATTCCATTTAAAATATTATCACCCTTGTTTTGGTCATCTAAGCTATTTGCAATCTTGTAAACGATTTAGTTTGTTTTTAGAGTGGTATGTGTTTTAAATATAACTATTTTCAAATTGAAATTATTTCGAGGACATTTTTATTTTGATATTTGCTCACCTGCAAACGAGTCTTAAATATAACGTATAAAACCATTCTAGTCAAATTTGAATTCCTTCTTTACTAACTTGCAATTGTTAACTTCATCAGATGGGCAATTATGAAATAGCTCAGAACCGCTTACCAGGAGTCAACCAGATGATCGTATGTCCACCATATCCACCAAGTAAGTAACCATATTTTAAATGTTGTAACACACGACTAACAAATGCTCTTGTGAATTTGTTTTACTGACCTTATAGTTGATCCAGATTTATTACCATTGCACAAGTTTATTTGCAAATTACTCATCACCGTATTTTGCGGTCTTTAAATTAGAAACGAATATTTGGAAAGTTTATTTCCATATCTTTAATATTTTAGTCCAAGATTTTGTGCTTGCCCTATTAATTTTAATTTTTTGCGTTTTCAAACGATTATTTTTATAACGGCTAATGTAATTCAGGAAGTAATCACAAAAATGATGTGATTATTATGTATACTATTTTTGAAAGGATTGGAAGCAATATAATATGTCTTGTTTTAGGTCAAAACTATCAGCCCCAATATGCAGATCTTTCAGCAGTGTTCGCGCGAAGCAGTCATATGATTAACCCAACATTGAATGATGTCAAGAGAGTTAGAACACAATATAGGGCACATCAAATAATTCAATTAGAAAATACGTTTAACAACAGCAAATACCTGTCGAGGACACAGCGAATTAATCTTTCCGAACAGCTGAATATGACTGAGAAGCAAATAAAGGTGTGGTTCCAAAACAGGAGGATGAAGCACAAAAAACGAACTCGTTTGGATCGTCCTGTTAGCAGCAGTGACTGTTCCTATACGATAAACAGTTCACCAGCATCAAATCCTGTTCAGGGTCCAAGGCAAATTCAGATGTACGAACATCTTCCACCGTTTACTTTTGGTAGTAATACAATTGAGCCCAATTCTACATGTCCTCAACCTATTCCCAATCAGCTCAATAATAACTTGTCGGCCTCAGAAGAAGAATTGTTAAACCTGTCAGATATGAAATTATATGAATTTGATTTTGACGAAGTTGCAAATGTATTAAATGCTCTTGGTTAAATTTATACTACTTTAAGGGTTAGTGACGTTTCGAAAAATTGTATCAAACTCATTAAAATGAACCTGATTATAATTACTAATACGTACGTATACGTACTTATTATTTCTGTGATGTACCCTACTCTAATACACGATATTGTTGTTGTTATTAGTTAGGCAAATTAAAATGTTCCAAAATTCAAAGGTTAAGTTCAATTTGTATTTATTTTTCACTTAATTTTATCCAGAAGGCGTTCCATGTCAAAGAGACATTACTTTAACCACGTACGTACTCTAAGTCCTAAAATAAGTCCAGTTTGTTTTTCCTATACAGGGTGTTTGGAAAATGCGTTACGAAATTTTTATGGATGATTCTCCATGTTAGAATGGTAGAAAGTCCCGTAGCAAAAATTTGAAATCTGAATATTTTCCTAATTACGACTCTCAAACTAATTTCTCTGCTGATAATTTTTGACTTATTCTGAACAGTTTTTCGTTTCATTCATCAAGCTTATAATTACTCATACATTTAATACCAATTCGTTTCCTGGGTTTCAGTCATTTATTTACTTCGTTGTTTCTGTCTTTTTCCATTCCATAAGACATGTTAAAATTGGCAACAACGTATACACCAGTAAGTAGTTTTACAACACTATAGAATGAGTTCTGGTCTGTTCCGAAATATTGTCTTCCTGATTCCTAACCAGTTAGTTCAATAATTTTTAGATAATTTTAAAATGTCTTAATATGTATAAACTGTAATAACGAAGTAACTAAATGACTGAAACCCAGGAAAGGAACTTGTATTAAAATTGAATTACAGTCAGGAAAAGTAACACGAAAAATTACTCATACTGTGATTTGGTCATTTATATAAATAAAAGCGCCCTTACCAGATTGGTGATTAACTTAACATTTGTAAAGTTGAGCTACGCTGAAAAGGTTCAATTTTTTCATACATAAAATCTTACCTTTGGTATTCTTAGAAGTTAAATATAATATTTCAAACACTTTTACCTCAAAAGAAGAGTAAATGTTCAACTGTTTGAAACGCAAATTTCTACTTTTTTTTAAGAGAGTATTAAATATAATGGTTTAAAATCTATATATAAATATCAATACTTCAGTAGAAAATCTGACAAACTCTTGGACTATTTCTAAAACCAGCTCCCATGTGAATTATCCCACTAAAGAATGGTATGAGCTAGTAGAGATGTTTCGTACAATTGACACACGTGGTTCTAGTGTTAAGAAATTTTATCTTGCAAAGACAATTTAACTTCACCAAAAGGCAATTGGAAGTGGTTGAGAGATTCCAGCACTTTAAAGATTTAAACTGTTGGTCATTATTGCTTACAAATATCAACCTTCTTAAGTGTCTCTCATTATCTTTATTCATATCAGCACCAGGGGGTAGTTCCGGGTGTAACCAACTGTAACTTTCAGAATCAAACTAAGGTGATACTTTTTTACCTGTAGATATAGGGTTTCAAAAATCACGGTCAAATATTTACTGTGAGGAAAAATCTTAATGCTATAAGCGGCTCATAACACGTAGCTCTTTCTAAATTTATTCAGCAAAAATTGTTTGTGATTTTGCATCAGCACGTCAATGCATTACCTAGCCATTTTAAAAATGTATAAAGAAATATCACAGAAGAGAAGCAGCATGTTAAACATTAAGAGTACAAAAGCCTCCATATGAATTACAATACAAGTGCGGTAAACATAAGTATTTTGTTTACGTTGTAACTTGTATAAAAAACTTTTTGTTTTCGTAACGTTCTGCTCCTTCTTGTGTTCGGATTGGATCAGGCAACTAATCGTTTTTTATTTTTAAAGTGGTTTAAACTTGAAGGAAGGCCTATCATTTTCATGTTTTCGAATAGAATTATATGGTACTGAAATATAACGAGCCGTTTCGGTATGTCAGAATGTTCCTCATTTCCGGAGAGATAAATTATTTTAAACTTCAAAGATTGGAAAATTTTACACTTTTTTATCTCTCGTTTTCCAGGTTACGAAAGGTTGCCTGTTGGACAGTTGACAGGAAAACCTTCGGGGTATGAATGTTTAATTCAATTTTTCAATAGCCGATAAGGAGCACAGCCTCACTCTGATCTTGGTTTGCATGCGGAATCTAAATGGGAGCAAGACAAATTATAATTTGCAAAGATGAACGTTTGCCAGTAGATTTGCTTGTTGCTTTCGAAACATATTTTTAAGTTTTTGCGTAAATGTGTTTAAATGGACTATAAATGAGTATAGTCCATTCTCAATAGGAAAAAGTATCTTTATTCAACTGATGCCTAACGGTGTGCCCCCCTCGAGTTAGTTTTGGCTGACAAACTTGAACAAGTTCATACAATTGCAGAAAAAACTGGAGCTTTCAGTCAGAGTGAAAGACAATTACCCATCAGGTACCAAAATATAATTTCCTTATGAAATTCATTTAAGTATTTTGACACAACAAGGGTTAACTTTCACGGTCTCATCAGACTTTTCCGCTCTTTCAGACAGAAAGGACCATTTAGACGGAAAAAAATATATACATTTGTAGGTTTTGTTCAAAAGATGCATGTCTTATAAATATACACATGTATATGAACATAACATCTTATAATATAGGGACGACAATATCCAATGGCAAACTTGGCCTTAATTTTTTTTACTCAAAATCGGTTTCCAAAGTTAACTCGAATTTTCAATTTCCATTTTTATCTTCTTGCAATCGATTTGTTTCGATTCTCCCTCTATCGAGGTTGGGACCTTGAAGTCACCTTAATCCTAAGCTGATAATAATCCGCGGATTTGGATTCAGCAAGCGAAAATACTATAGAATATACATAAGTGTCTCAACCCCAGATTAACTGATTTACTGGTGATGTCTAAAACAAAGAACAATATTTTTGATAGGTAAAAAAATCAGACTAGTTTAAATATATACTTGCTAAACTAAACGGTAATTGAAACGTTTATTTTTACAACGGATAATGTAATTTAGAAAGTAATCACAAAAATATTGTTATTTTTATGTATTCAATTTTTTTATGAATTGGACACATTGTATTATGTCTTGTTTTAAAACAAAACGATCAGCGCCACTATGCGGATCCTTCAGCAGTAGTCGCGCAAAGCAGTCATATTAATAAGCCTACATGCAATCCTGTCGAAAGAGTTAGAACACATTCAATTGGAAAATTAATTTAACAAAAACAAATACTTCTCGAGTACAAAGCGAATTCCTCTTTTCCAACAGCCGAAGCTGACTGAGAAGGAAATAAAGGAATGATTCCAAAACAGAAGTGAAGCACAAAAAATAAAGTAATTGTTCTAGAAATTGTCCTGTAAGCAACACTGACAAGGTGTGTCCTGAACATCATTTGATGCTGGTGAATAGTTTCTCCTATAGCAGAAACTATTCAAATGATGTTCAGGATCCCAGGATTCAAAGCTACGAACATCTTCCACATTTTACTTTTGGTACTAATATATTTGAGCCCAATTCTACATTTCATCAACCCATTCGAAATCAGTTCACTAGGAACTAACTTGTCAGCTTCGGCAGAATTATTAAACCTGTCAGATTTACCTGGATTTACATGATTTAGAGGTTGGCAAAATTGTAAAATGAATTAAATACTTAATCTTCGAAGATCCCATAATTTTAATATTTTTCGTGTCTCTTTTTTCCACGTTACAAAAGATAATGTCCTTCTGAAAAAGGTTAGGGGTCCGAATGTTTAATTCAATTTTTCAATAGCCGTTAAGGAGCAAGGCCTTATTCTGATATTGTTTTTACTCCGAATCTGAATGGGAGCAAGAAAAATTGTAATTTGCAAAGATTTCGTGGGTAAACCTTGGGATGAACGTTTGTCAGTAGGGTTGTTTGTTGTTTCCGAAATATACGTTTGTGGTTTATCTAAATGTGTCCAAATCCACCAATCGGGTACAGTGTATTTAAATATAGAAAGTCAAACAACAGAACGCAAAGATGTGCACTCAATTAGTACCAAATTTGGGGATGTTTCCGGTGACCTTCACTTGCCCAACAGGCGCAAATTACGTAGTACTCAACCAAAACCGGTTTGTTCATCCCATGCGGATTAACTAAAATTCCAAGAATTCGGAAGAAAGATGCAAATTCATTTGACTGAGGGCTGCCTCAAATTAAGCACATGCAATTAAAAAGGATGCAAACCCACGCAAAGAGATAGTGAACAGTGAGTCATAAATCTTTGGGTACATTAAGGGTTAGTTGGGAAGAATTTTGTGACCGAAAAAGGTTTAGGTAATGTTGGTACTAAGTAGCTTCCGGTCGCCATCATTTCCCGTGGTGTCTTTTGTGATACGCAACTTTCAGAAATTATTCTACAGGGTGGTTCAAAATTGGCGTCATTCCTTTTAAGGGGTAATAGGGGCGCACTTGGAACGTACGAGAAAAATATTGAAATTTTTTTTTCGATATTTTCTTGAAGATTTTAACAGTTGAAAATCGAATTTCAACTTTGTTATTACATTATACAATCACTGACACTTTCCCAGGCAACAAATAAATACGGGCTACATTTCTACCACATATGTAAGATTACATTAAACCATTGGATTACTGAACACCGGTATAAATTGAGCAGGTTTTAATTAACACAGGCACCTGTTTGGAGTTACAGACTCAAATGTATGTTTTCGAATAGTTTCGACATAGGGTGCGTCATTCAACGATTCCTGTTGAATTTACCGTTTATCCTTTTTTTATTTATTTATTTATCTATGGTTACTGGAGTTTTAAATAATTACGAAGTTACAGGTATTTACGTAATGTTAATTAGGCCGATTTCCCTGAAACACATTGTTGCCGTTTTCTAATTAGCTTTTTGCAATTATCTCAGTTTTTAATAACAATAAATTTTCTTCGCTATTTTTTCTGTACTCCCAAAACACCGCCAGACAACACCTGCAGAGGAATGACGCCAATTTTGAAGCACCCTGAATACTTAAAGGTTATGTCTACTAAAATATTTTTTTGAATTTAAATAAGCTGGCGTTGTTATTAACAACAAATTTGTAATCATTTTTTTCGGATGTAGTAATTCATCTAGTGTTATTTATGATGAAGTGATTGTTAAAGAATTAGAAAGTAATAATTCTGTTCTGTTCTGTTATTTATTGTATCTTGTTATGTACTGTTTTTATGTGTAATGCAATACTT